TTGGAATTAAACGAAAATTTGTGGGTATATACACAATTACATTCCGAACAACTCTACTTAGACACCAAATACAAGTGGTTTAGTAAAAATAAATGTTATTAACTAAAAACTATTTTACGATTTTCGGATCAAACACGATCCGAATCCGACCCGACCTGAAATTATCGGTTCGGGTTGACCTCAAACCCGATCCGAACCGACCCGAACAGAGCTTTAACTATGATAAAATTTATAGTTGGAATGCATGTACGAGAAAAAGTAAATATATTATGAATTACATGCATTGCTTTAAAGATCTTTTATTTCTGATTTAATTAACTGTACGTATTTGGTACAGAACCTCTTAAATCAACAATATCGATGTTTTCTGCTATAAATTCTATCTGTAAATTCAAATTTAACCGGTAATATATCAAAAAACTTAACGAATTAAATTTTGTATTTACATGTGCACCCTGTTTATATTATTCTATATATCCAAGGAAAATAAAGGGATAAAATTGAGATTTGACTGTATAAATAATATTTCTTCAATAAATTTTTGTAGGAATTTAAGCTGGTTTATAGGCTAAATCATTCTTATTTATCATTATTTCGTATAATTACATTTTCTACAATCACATTTTTTATTAGTTCCAGCTATTATAAGATATATGTTGCATAACATCTATATTTATCAAAAATTTGTATTTTATAAAATGTATAAACTAAGAAAATTAATCTGTAAATATTTTGATGTTATGCACCATAGGACATTTAAGCACAACTTTTATAAAAGCACACTTTTTTCTAGTCCTGAGAGCGTGACATGATTATATAGAAAGATGACTGTAGTTTCAAACTTTATATTGAATTTTTGTATTACCATTACATGAAGAAATAAATAGTGCTTTTAGTTTTTATAAAGCTATACTAAGTGTATATTTATCACATTTTATATTGACTAATCTCATTATACTCTTATTTAAGCATCCAATCAAAACACTGTGAAAAATACTCATTCTGACTAATAATAGCAATTATCTTATACTTCCGAAATTAAGAATAAATGATGATATAAATTTATTAAATTTACAAATAAACATTTCTAACAAAAAAAGGGTGCTTATTATGGTGAAGTCATCAAATGTTTGTATTTTATAAAATGTATAAAAATCTTTACTAAAGCTCTATTTGGGTCGGGTCGGATTCGGATCGGGTTTGATCCGAAAATCGTAAAATAGTTTTTCGTTAATAACTTTTATTTTTACTAAGACACTTGGATTTTGTGTCTAAGTAGAGTTGTTCGGAATGTAATTGTGTATATACCACAAATTTTGGTTTAATTCCGATTAATATTGAACGAGAAATAACGTTTTTTAGGCTGATCCGAAATATTTCGAGTCAGGTTTCACTCCAATCCGACCAGACTCGAAATGTGCGTTCCGGGTCGAGTCACGGATTGGACCCAACCTGGTTAGAGCATTAATCTTTACTAAGAAGCAAATACAAAATTTAATCCATAAATATGCTCAGAAAATGCCTATTCTATCATATTCACGGATTAAATTTTGTATTTACTTCTTAGTAAAGATGTTTATACATTTTATAAAATACAAACATTTGATGACTTTAGATGTTATGCACCATATACGGCATTAAATAATTTGTTTATTAGTTTAGTCAGAATATAACAATATCACTTATTAACGTTAAAATATTTTTTATTATTACATGTATATGTAATTGTTTTGCATATGCGAACTTACACTTATACGTATGTAATACATAACGATAATGATAAGAGTGCCGTAAAGCGCTCTGTATAGTACCCTCACCTTGTAAAGTACTTTCCGGTTTATGCACGGATATTTTTATGGTACATGTACATATTTTTATTTACGAAAATTAACAATGACGAGAAAAGAAACTACGTATCATCTATGTCTTAGTGTTAGAAACAACAATTCCATCAGATATCCCACAAAATTTAAATGAACCTTTAATTAAATTTGGATCAAGAGAACATAATTCACAAGAATCTCTTCTAATTAAACAAAAGAACTGAATAATTTAATTATATTCTTAACAATTCTCTGTGCCATATTTAAAAGGCTTATTATGTATGCGATATACTTAAAAATTATGTTTTGGTTTTATCGTTATTGTTTTGCAAAGTATTAAATAATCTCTACGTATTATTATATTCGAAAGAAAATTTATTGTTCTTTACATCTAAAGAAATATAAATACTTGACATTTTTCGATGAAGATATTAATTTGAAATGGTCATAATCAGTAATAGAAGGGCTTTAAAAGCACGTAGAACAAAAAAATTACGAACCTGGTGTGCCCAAGAAAAATTATGTATAATGAAAACAATAAAATGAAACTTCTATTCGTGAAACAAATAAAAATTTAATATCCAGCCCAAGCAATTACGGGAATGGATAAATAAAAGCCTTTTAAATTACATAAAGAAAATTTACCAAAATATCCACAATTAGAAGCCTTATCTGAATGTATTAATAAACAACGGCAATTACAAAAGTTTGTTAATAGCACATTGGTGGTGATTACGAAGGCATTTTCACTTGCTCAGAGTATTGATTTCCAAAATCTATCGGATATACAAAATTTTATACTTTCGAATACATGTAGATGGTTTTTGATCAATATAATTTGTCAAACCGACGTCAAGAAAAAAACAAAGTTTTCTTAATTTTATTTAAATCAACGTATTCAATATAATTACCCTTCATCTTTAATTGGAAATATGGGTGAGACTCCTCTTGTTTTTGATTTACCAAATCCGACAACAATCAACAAACGTGGCGCCCACACAATTAGCCTTCGAACTACGGGTAATAAAGAAAAAATTTCACCTTGGTTCTTGGATGCATGGCCGATAGGACAAAATTACCTCCAGTTTGTATATTTAAACTAAAAAAAAAAATACCTCGAGAAAGCTTTCCTAATAATGTATTTATTCGTGTAAATGAAAAAGGTTGGGTTAATGAAGAAATGTTTTGGTGGGTGAAAATATGTAGACTAAAAGATTACCTTTAAGTAATCCACATTCTCTTTTAGTTTTTGATTCCTTTTGTGCACATTTAGTTAATTCAGTTAAACATAAACTTATTGAAAATAATCCTGGAGGACTAACATCTAAACTGCAACCATTAGATGTTGCAATTAACAAAGTTTTAAGATGAAGGTATATATAAATTTTAATTATTATATTTTATTTTTTGTCGTTACGTATATACATATTTAAAAATTAATTTTAAAAGGTCCGTGCACTATATAATCAATGGATGTCGGAAGAAATTCATGACCTTACACTTCAAACCGTATTAAAAAACCTTTCATATTCATTACTCGCTAAATGGTAGAAATTGCGTGGGTGTCTCTTGATCCAAATTTAATTAAACGTTCATTTAAATGTTGTGGGATATCTGACGAAATTGTTATTTCTAACACTAAGACATAGATGATACCGTAAAACGCTCCCCCCTTTGTAAAATACTTTCCAGTTTATGCACGGATATTTTTTATGGTGCATATTTTTATTTATAGATTTGTATCACTTAAATTAACAATGACGAGAAAAGAAAATATTAGCATTAGAAATAACGATAATAACGATAATAATTAATTTTTGCGCATCTTATTGGTTGGATCATCACGTGATCGACACTTTGCCGTGGTTAGGGTATTAGTGACAGATGAAGCTGGAAAAATGAATTCTTCATTGCAAGCTTCATCCTTTACATAGATCATGAAGGGAAATAATTAAAAGTTTATCGTTATATCGGATCTAATTGTACTAGTACGTATAAACTGATTTGTTCGCCACTGATTTAATCTTGGTTAATCCTATTAAGTTATAATAAATAACGATAATAACGATCATATAAAAGAGCTTTAAATTCATTATGTAGTTAAATGTAAAATCTGCTTACCATACTAAGAAATTACGTAAAGAAGTGAAGAGTTAGTTAGACGTCAATCAATTCAATAATAGTAATAATAAAAATAACTTACTAAAACAGCACCGCGAACAACAGCAGTGACAGCCTGATGTGGTGCACAAACCATCGTTGACGGTGATTCAAATCTTTCCTTCACTCTTCTTAACAAATACAGAGATTCTCCAAACCCACCACACAAAAAGATCGCTTGATATTTCATCTCAGAAGCATTAAGATGCTTCTGAACCAACGAGATAATGGCGTCCACAACCGGCCTGAACATTGATTCTACGGTATCAAAATCAAGTGGAAT